TTTTTTGATGCAATTTATGTTTACATATTATTTAAATAGAAGTTCATATTAAAGACACAAATCAAGATATTGTATGTTGAAGTAAAATAAGGATGTGGGTCTGTATGAGAGTATGCATAGGTTAGGATATAGTTGCGGAGGTAGGTGTATCTTCTCTTGATCATCGTCCACATCCACATCCTGACTCAACTCAAACCCATGAGAGTCAGAAAAAAGAAATGAGAGACAACACTTTCCCTGTTTAAAATGAATATTGATATATAAAGTAATATGAGTTAGGAAAAAAATCATGTTTTCCTGCGTTAAAATATATCCTATCCTGATATACAAAGCCATGAGAGTTAAGGAAAAAAGTGAGAGAGAATGCTTTCGTTAAATAGAATGGAGACTGACATTCAGAGTGCTGTGAATTAGAAAAAAAGAAAATAAATAACATTTTCCTCCGTTAAAATGCATTCTGTTCTGGTATATAGAGTTATGAGAGTTAGAAAAAAGTGAGACATTACGCTTTTCTTGAATAGAACGGCTGCTCACATACACGGTATAAGCCATAAGTAAGTATGCGATAAGAAATTTAAATATCTCCATTGCAGCTCGTGCAACTAAGCTGATTTTTGGATCAATGATAAAGACATGTCTTTCTCAATGTAAAGCTTAAACACTTCTTTGTCATTAATAAGATAATCAGCTAATTCACTCGAACCGTAGAGGCAATATTTGATGTTTTTACTGGCAAAATAACTTTGCGTTTTTCTATATAGTGTTATTTCCTCATCTGTGAAAAATGAACATGTCTCTATTATTGATCAAAAAAACAGCTCGGTTGTATAAGCCGTAACGTAATATTTAAATTTCTTGTCGCCCACTTACATATGGTCCATCCTGTATAAAAATGTCGTGAGTTAGAAAAATAAAGAAAAAGATAAGCTTTTCTCAGTTTTAATATATATAGACGCAAATTGTGCTGTCAGTGAGGAAAAAACGGAGAAGGCAAATACTTTCTCAGATTTTCTACCTTAAATGTTCGCATATTTCTTTTTGAAGGTTTCTATATTGATCGTCATTTTGTTTGATTTTTGTTTTTGTTTATGAAAGATCATTAGTAACAACGATGTATTTATATAATTACCACACGAATTGAGGGTATTTTCTTTTTTTTATAGGAAAAGCTTTTGTTTTAAAGGTATGATATAATCTTTATGGTTCCAGATGTTTTTTATATAATATTGAAGTAACTATATTATGCAAAAAAGAAATTCTATTGAATAAAAGTTTTTCTTGTACCATTTCTGTTCCAATCCTTTTAGATTTCTTTTCATAATATTGCAAAACTTTGACAAAGCTTGATGAATGGATATAAACAATAGAATAAGTGTTTGTGATATAATTTATTACGAAAAATAACAAAAACTAATTTGTTTCTTTTTGCCTTTACTTTATAGCCTCAGTCCGCTGACAGTGATATAGGTGAAACACAACCTATCCAATCGACAAGGCTGTACGTATACTCCGAGTTTTAGTAAATAAAAAATATTGTTTGTATTTCAGACGTGTATGTATTCGAAGTAAATTGAAGTGGATCATAGTTACTATTGTGATAATAGCGATAATTACCATTCCAACAACTATTATTCTCACGAAAAAGGAAAACGATGTTGAAATAAACTCAACAACAGTAGGAGAAGAATCAATAGCATTGATGCTAACAATAACAACTACAGAACCACCGAAGACAAAACCTATCGAACCATCAAAGACAACAACAACGACAGAACCATCGAAAACAAAAACTATAGAACCATCAAGAACAACAACAACAATAAAACCACTATCAGCAAATCTACCAGGTATGTCTGTGTAAAAAGAGACGTAAAAAGAAGTTGATCGCTTACTTACATTAACTTATAACAGACTAATTAATGAAAAAACATCCGTCATATGTTGGTAGTTGAATCTTACTTTTCTAATTTGATTAAAATTCTGGATATAACATTATCTGTATTATACTTTATACAAAGGAATAAATATAAAAAACCTTAATCTTTCTTGTACTAACTTTTATATTTTAATCTGATTATTATTGAGCAATCGCATAATGTACCTGTTTGTTTAGTAGAGCGAACTGAACAAATAAGAGAGTTTTGTGAATTTTCTCATATTTTTTTATGTTTGCATTTACTTTGCAGCTCTCATCTCACTTGATAGTATTGATGGAGCTATCTATGGTGTACATGATACGAGGATAAACCAGGATAGTCAAGCATCAGCACCTGGTAACTGGGCCGGTACTTATCACCCCAGTACGCCACCAACCAATGCATGTGATGGTGATACTTCTACAAAGTATTTACACTTTGGAAGGTGTACAGAGTATGAAAATGATATTACATGTGGTTTGGATACTGGTTTTTATCTGGAGTTGAAGCGAGGTACATCATTAGTTACAGGATTACAAATCTGCACAGCTGATGATTTTCCAGAACGCGATCCACTTACAGTGTCATTGGAAGGAAGTAATCAGTCTGGAGCAGCGCTCACTCTTGGCTCGAGCTGGACTCTGATTTACAAAGGGGATAGTGGTCTTGGAATAGATACTGATAGACTCACCTGTGGAATTATGCAACTGATCAACAATCCGATTCAGTATAAAAGTTATCGGTTTCTTGTTTCAAGCAAGCGGGACTACAGGAACAGTGTTCAGTATTCTGAAGTAAAGCTATTTGGATACTGACCTTTGGCTTTATCATGACCATCAGTCATGATACATCATCTTCTTTCATTTATTCTCTTATATTATACACATATGCTTGAGTCATCTTTATATTCTTTGAGCTTTGTATGCTTATTTATTCGACTTTCTTTTTCTGTTCACCCACTTTCATTTCAAATAAATTGATAATCTTTACAGGCTTGACTTAATTTTATAAATTCATATAAAAATTCAAATAAAAGATCATTGAGGGTAGGTGTTGATGATGGATGTGAAGAATATCCACACACATTCTGATACTTATATACAGGCACACATATCCTCACCTTCATCGGCAATCTTATCCTAATATTTTGAAGAAGAAATAGAAAAGAATATAAGAAAAACATCAGATTTTTATTAATACGAATGAATATATGATTACTGAATTTTTCGACGAAAAATCCAAGTATCTGCTTCAGCACTATCAATTATTCCATTCATACATATTCCTGTATGTAATTGACAATCAAGCGAAGTAAAACAGTCGAGTAAAGAGAGTAGTCTTATTCGACTGGAAACTGTTTCGTCATTTGTCCATGGTTTGCCACTTCTATTTAAAAAAGAAATATTTTAAAGAATAAAGAAAAAATGAACTATTTCATACAATTTTAATCGATAACATGTCCTAGCATCATTAAACCACTCTTCTCGTTGAATATTATTTTCGCCAAATGTTTGTCGAATTCTCTGAATAACATCAGGTGGGGCACATATTACATGAAGTTTATCTAAATCGTAACGCGAAATAGCAAAAAATAATGTTGGTGATGAGCGTACTCCCAATTGGAAAATAAACGAATTATTATCTTCAAGTAATCGACAAAAATCGTTTGATGTTAAAAGATGCCAGCCATTACTATGCAATGCTGAAAGAATATGCAATCTAAATAAAAATATTCAAAAAAAGAATTTAATTAATTCAATCAAAGAACTACATCACAATTCGAGATGGAATATTTTCATCTCCTGAACGCAACCAAGGATTTCCCTTGAGCTTGAATTCATAAAAACTGATATTCTGTGTTTCTTTTTGCAAACCATTTACCCAACTAGCATTAATTGCATCACGGACGGTATTAATGATCGATAATGGAAATTGAAAACATCGTAGACGATCAGTCCTAAACAATGTTATACAAGCATGTTGATGTACTGAATAATTCGGTGGCGAATCAACATGAATATTATTTGATGCACTTTTCGACATTGAAATTATATGAAAATAATGTTTTATAAGCATATTTTACTATCTATTTAAATATGACAAACCAAAATAGATAACAAATAATGACTCAAGATATTCTTATCTTTACTTTTATATTAGAAACTCTAACTGAATACTCGTTTAGTTTATGATTAAGACAACTATCGTTATCAATCTATATGTATGAAGTGTACTACCAAAAAAAATTTAATTAATTAGCATTGTTTGTATATGATCTTCAAATATATAACAGTATACAAATTTTGGATATATATAAGAGAATTTCACATGCCGTTCTATTGAAAAGAAGTTCACAGATTTTTTCAATGTCATCATCAAACACTGACTGCAACGAGAAAAGAAAAAGTTCTATACTCACAAACCAATGTTTCATATGTGTTCTTATTTAGTTTTTGAAATCAAACTCAGTTAACAAAACTTCTGTTTAAATATGAAATGATCAATGTAGAACAGTCTTTATAGCTGAGGCAAGCGTTGAGGATGTTTCCTTCATCCAACTTCTCACACATTAATATTTACGATATTAGAAGTAAACAGACAGCACTTAACGATTATCAACTTCATTTATTATTCATATTTTTTAAATCGAACGATGGAACTTAATAATTGTTGATTATGATTATGATCATGTTTGATTTCAACATTTCGATTTAACCAAAAGATTGTTGAAAAACTATTCTGTATTTCGGTTGATGTTGGTCGATCAAAAAAGTGATATTGAAGATGAAAATTAATTTGAAAATTTCGTAAATGACAACAATATTCTGTTAATAATGTTTCCCATTGATCTCCATTCGATAAAATATAGTCACATAAAAGTTTCATTCTATTTAACTTAGGAAATATTTGTAATAAAAGTTTGACATCGTCGAAGGTGGTATGATAATCAAAACTTAAGTTCAAGTAAACACAATGTTGTAAAATAAAGTTTGACGATAAGATTGGTATTGATATTGTTCTATCAAGATCAGAATATAATCGATTTACTTTAATAGATCTAATGTACGGTACACATGATAGCATTTGTAGAAAATCTGTCAAATTTAGACATGGAAGAGTAAGCAATTCTAAATTTGTTTGCTTCATTGTTGTTGTTGTTGGTATTTGAAGATGAAGAATACGATCTTGATTACATTTAAAAACCAATTGTTTAAGAGTAGGAAAGGCGTCATTTTCAATAAATAATAACTGAAAAAGTCGTCTTAATGATCGATCATGATTAGGAATCCATCCCACTCGAATATGTAAAGAATCAAGTGATGTTAAATGTGATAATTGTTCTAAGAGAATACATGAACAATCACATCCCATTTCACCTAAATAGAATAAGGAAAGACAATGCAATTGATTGAATGTATTAAATGACCATCGAGTAAAAAATTCTTCAATTTGAAATTCTTGATCGAATTTAATTGATTTAATATTGGTACGATTTATCACTTTTGGTAGAATAACATTAGAAGTAAAATTATAATCTCTGATTGTTATAATATTAAAATATAATGGAGTAATTTCCGAGAGTATTGAAGTAATTTTCGAATTGATATTATCGAATGTATGATAAAGTTCACTAGCATCGAAGAATTCAAAGATTTCACACCATAATTCAACTGAAAGATCTTCAATAGTGCTACGAAGAAATGTGTTTGACATTGTTTTGAAAATATTGTGAGAACCGTCACGTTTTATCTGTCAGAAAGAAAAAGTGACGAGAAAAAAATAATACACGATGTAATTTCGCAATAAAAATATAACCAGTGTTTATATCATGTCAACAATGCGTCATTGATATTCTTACTCATTTTTGAATACATAAGGAAAGAGAAAGAGAACGATGAAAAATAAATTTTATTATTAACATCATCATCATAAAGTCTTTGAATATCTTATCTCGAAGATGAGTGTTGGTATAAGTATATGTTCTATGGTATTCTACGTCAACACTCTCAGCATAAATGTTTTTTCATGTGTAAAATCAATAAATAGTAAGCACTCCTTTTCATTATTGCCATTCTCAATTCGCTTTTTCCAAACCATTAGAAATATTATATTTTTTCGACACTATTATAAGAAGCCTTTCTATTATTCACATGTATTATCCAATGACATCTCGTTTTCAATTGATTATTGCTTTTTTGTCAGAATCAATAAATTATTTCACTTTTATTTAAATTTATATAATAAAATCACAATACAACATAAAAACTATGTCATTTCAATCTTTTATACCATTCTTACTAATACTACTTTTGATTTTCGTCTAATTATGTCTGTTATAGACATTTTCAGTGGATCTGTAAATTTAAATAAAGCAATCATAACAGATACAGATAATACATCAAAGAATACACAAGAAAATCGGCAATGATATTTTGGTATGTTTGTAAAAAATGACATGACAACAAATAGTCCATAAGGAAAACCAGTTATGAATAAAATTGTTATAAGAATAACGATATTTCGAACCATTCTTAATTGTCGTTTTGCTCGAATTATAATATTCGCTGGTGTTATACGTTTACTCATTACATGAATATATCCAATTAATTTAAAATAAGTCATCATAATGAACAGAACAGGTATTATATAACTGCAATGTAACATATAAACTAATGAAAAAGAATATCCAAGTGGTAATTGACACATATGATTGGCAATATCATAAACAATTTCTCCATTAAATATAAATATTAAAGGATATCCAATACTAAATATCCATGACATGAAAACAAATAAGAATTGTATTTGTCGTGATTGCCATAATAAACGAGTTGGATAAACTACGCAAAGATATCTATATATAGCTTGTAATAAATAAGAATAATTTAACATAGCACATGAACTATATGCAATATAAATTCGAAGAATACATAAATAATCTTGATATTGAATTTTTTTAATATCATTTTGTAATCGAAATCCAGCTATCCAAAGTCTATCAAGACCAAAAATAAGATGAGCTAGACATGAATTAGCAATAAACATCATTGGGACTGTATGACAAGTTTTATTTGAAATAATAATAAATAAATAAAGTATGGCAATTCCAACGATTAATAAAGTAAATACAATCGATAAGATATCGAAAATTATAAATAATGATTCAATATTTATTATTGTTTTATTATGAAGAAATATGGCGAACATTGTATATATTACCTTATTGTTTTTTCTAAAATAAAAAAATTTCTAAAGATTATAAATATTCTATTTTCTTTACTAAATCAAATATACAAGTTTAATCAGTATATTCATCATAAAAAATAATAACATTCTATCTTCTAGGTATATTTAGAAATAAAGTAGAGCATTCTATTACTGACTGAAGGGAACTTAGTATAATATTTCATGTAATACTTTTAGATATATAATTATAGTTCGGCTATTCATTATCTCGAAGTAAATGAGGAAGTTAGAAAAGAATAGACATTTTAATCGTAAATAATATTGCTAATAACAATCTCTTTGTTTTTCTAAAAAAGAACCATGCATAAGAAAGGCTCCGATAACAACAGTGTAGATAATTATATAAAAAATAAGCCTTGATTTATTTTTTTTCAGTTATTATAAAATCATGCTTTCATGTCAACTTAGAATGTTCTTATACAATCATGATAATTTCATTATAAGTTATTCAAAATAAAAAAATGAAAAGAAATATTTTGTACCGGAAAAAACAGCAGTACTCAGCAAATTAAGTTTGTTTTACGTACCTGCTTCTATATCAATTAAGATTATTTCGAATTTAATAATATTAAGAACTATTATCATTATAAAAACTAACTACATATTCTGAGAGTCCATGTAGTTTTCTATTACCCACTATGTATGCATTCGCATTTATATGTTACCAGAAAAAATGGAGTACAATTAAAGCATTGTCACGCGCAGATTGTCGCATGCATGATTTTTTCTTTGTCGTCACTACAGAATGAATTCTTTGCCAAAGTAATTACAGAATCTTATAGAGCGTGAAATACTCTATAAACTCTACCTACTTACTTATTTTTTCAATTTTTGAATGTAAGAAAGTTGATAACTACCTAGGGTTAATAGAGAATTTCACGCTCTGTCAGAATCTTTAATTGCTTTTGCAACAAGATGATTCTATAGTAATACTAAAGAGAAAATTACATGTGTGAAAATCTGAATACAAGGACGCATTGATTGTGCTCAATATTTTCTGGAAATACATAAGTACAAATGAAAATGTATATTCTATATTTTCTTTTAAATTAAAATTTATCTTATCTTAACTACTTACTTTTTTTATTTTTGATCTTATTTGTCAGACTAATATTCATGATAATGAATTATTGTTTTCTGTTTTATTAGTAATAAATGCCCTCTGAGAAATTATTGCTACTAGCTCAAATTATCGAATATTTCCACAAGACATTTAAAGAGGAAAATTGTTCTGTATAAAAAAAAAATATCAAAGCGACACACAGTTCTTCGAAATTAAATAAGAACGAAATCACAGAGAAAAAATAGAAACGATAACCAGTAGAATGAAAAAGTACTATTAAAGTACACGTGAACGATCAATAGTAATATTACCAGTAAATAATTATAAAACAGGTCGTATATCAGATATAAATAGCAGAAAAAAAATACAAAAAAAGATGACTATAATATTCCGGCGTCAGAAGAAAATATATCAAGTTTCTTAATGAAAGATTACTTTGATCTAATGATGGATATATTATCCTGTTTTAAAGTCACTGAAAGAGTAGTGTTAATATTTATTAGGAGATTTTTTCTCATTTCAAAAAATAGCTTTCTGTCTTATGATAAGAAGATAGAAATATGGAAAGACGTATCAGACATGCTATTAATAAATTTTCATATAAAAGAGAAAAAAGAACAAGAAAACTTTTTTCTTATTTCCGAAATAAAAATTGTGAGAGAAAAATTTGTAATAAACATGCTGTTATTATGACAAGAACAACACTCATTTTATCGAACGGATGAGAAAATGAATACATAAAAAAATTATTTAAACGCCAACAGTGGTAAATAATATGGTTCTCGCAAATATAAACGAACAACAATCATCTATGAAACACAGCGATGACAGTTTAAGAATTTAATTCATCATTAAGATTATTAACAATTTAAATTGAGTGGTACTTATAAGATAAGTGAAACTGCCGATGAATGAGTGTATTTTTAGAAAAAAAAACTTTCATTAATTAAATTCTCTTATAAAAACGGAAACTCTATTTGATATGCTGCAAAATACTAGAGAAGTTATTTAGTAGAAACAAAATATGATATATCGTTTGCCATATGTGGATGCAGATGAGTAAGAAACGAGAGCAGCATCTAACTCATATTCTTTAAAGTATGAACTCCTTTCAAGGTATTCATAGCTCATTAGAATATATATATATATGATGTGCACCGTTTCAACTCAAAAACGATTTACTACTTAAAAATTTCTTTTAATTATTCTTTCCTGAAGGTGTGAAAGAGAATTTTATATTTTCTGTTTCAATGTCCACATTTTGGTGATAGAGCAGTTGGATTTCATAATATATAAGTTATTCTAATATCGTTAGGAAAGCAAAAAATTATATTGATTTTCAAGTGATTCTCCATCTTGAATTTTAGATAAATAAAACTGTTATGATCTGAATAAAAGAGGTTTATATAAAATGAAAAATTTGTCGTATTTAAAAATTAAGTAAGATCAGACTAATCGTCTATGATCCGAGAAACTAAATAAAGAGAGATTTTATATTGCTTGAAGCATTCATTTTTTCAGTGTGCGTATTTGTATTCCATACCACTTCCATATAATTAAAATTTTCCAAGGAAGAAAAAGCAAGACTGTAGCGGTGTGTACTTCACTCGTACTTCATTGTATTGAACATGTTTAAATAAAAATTGAAACCGGAACTCACAATCTATCTCGGATTTAAATAAATAAATCGTTGACTAGAAATGCGAATATCCTGTATTACAGTAAAACAAAAGTGGAAATTTTTTAAAGTTTTCTATATTGTAAAATATGTCATACGTATTTACACAACGAACTTGATTTAACTTACAAGTAACGTTGGTTTCATACCGATTCACTCATCTCCAAATTGATGGAACACGGCTTACGAAAATATAAACATTTCTATATATAAGAGAATTAAAGAAACTACTAACAGGCAAAATTCAAAAGATGACTGTTATATAATAAATAATTATAACAATTCTTGAAGGTAGATGCGGGATGTAAGTGGATACTCTATTTCATCTACACTCACCCTCAAGAATTCAGAAATTCGTCGATATAATGTAATAATTCCCATAGAACAAATAAATCGTAGTATTTATTTAAAAAAAAATGAATAAATCTCAAAAAAAGAAGCCCTAGAAGCTATTGAGGAAGAAAAGTGAAGAGAGCAAAACATTTAGAGAACAATCGATGCACATATCAATGATGAGGAAGAGAGAAAATCAGACGAAAGTGACAATTAATGGCACACAACAGACAAAAGAGAGAAAAAAACTAATAGTAATAATATTGTTAGAGTACTCTCTAACAGATCATCATCATCCATATACTTCTGCACTATTCAATGCATTTATAAGGTTAGGGACTCCACCAGCAACTAAGATAGTTCTGTTTGTTAACTTGGATGCTGTGTGAAGAAGTCGTGTGGCGCTCATTGTGCTAGTAGTTGTCCAGAGTCCTGTAGATGGATTATACACTTCTGCACTACTCAGTGCGGTACTGCCATCAGCGGTTCCACCAGCAACTAACACATTTCCATTTGCCAATATGGATGCTGTATGAAAAAATCGTGCAGTGTTCATCCTACCAGTAGTTGTCCAGAGAACTGTGGATGAATCGTACATTTCTGCACTATTTAATGCGGTACTACCATCAGTGCTTCCACCAGCAACTAACACATTTCCATTTACCAATGTGACTTGTGTGTGATATTTTCGTGCAGTACTCATGCTGCCAGTAAGTACCCACACTAGAAAGGAACATTCAAAGACAGCTTATAATGAAATTTTAATCTAAAACGTTTTCACTAGCATTTCTAGCTAGATTTTGTCAAGAAATAGTTAATATATTTTCAGTTGATTCTATTTTGCATGACACAAAATACACCGAATTTGATCAAAACACTTCTCACTAACCTAACGGCTTTCTCAAGAAATATTTCGATAACTTTCGATAAACTCTCAATGAGAATAACTCCAATAGGCTCTCTTCGATTGCTTCAAATCTTTGAAGAAAAGCACTTCAAAATTTCGATCTCAATATCTCTAAATGACCCACTATCAGCTGCTATAACGAGATCTAACATATCGTCTTTTATATCATTTACACATAAAAACTACCTTCGTGCTTCTTTCAGGTCGAGAAAATTATGTTTCATACCTGATATTGTGGTTGTTGTTGTGCTTGTAGTTGTTGCTGTTATTGTAGGTGATATTGTAGTCGAAACTGAAAGAATACTTTATCTTTTAATAAATGAATCTTTGTAAATTCTATTGTTTTTTATATTAATCATAAAATCGTTTTACAAAATTCATCGATACTCACTATGAGAAGAAATTCGTTTCGATTTATCTATCTTACCTGCTGACAGGACTACATCAAACCCGCAAAATCGAGATGAAACTGTATATGATGCAAGATTTGTTACAATAGTAAATGTAGTCGAGCTAAGTTTCGATTGTATATCGGCCTTGGTTGGAAGTATACATTGTGTAATACAATAAGCAGTCTTGCATTTCGTTTTTGGGCACTCATTAATGATGATTATCATTCGAATTTTGTCACCTTGGCTTACACTAGAACCTGCTTGAGTTGCATTGCAAGATACTGCACCTCTACAAGAATGAATAATATGAAAGTTTTTCCACTTAACAAAAAAGTTCTTAAAGTAGCTGACCGTAGTTGTCGTTTTTTCTTCTTGGTGCTTGTAATACTACCAGTCTCCAAGGAGACCGATTTAACACTTAACACATCGTTAGGGTAACCCATTTTGTCATTAAACTGTAACATAAAAATAGTTATGCTGCATACTATATGAGAAAGAATATAAAAGTACCTGACGAGTAAGTGAATCATCATTAGTAACTGATTCCCCAGTGTTACTGCTGAAATCAGTAGCAAATACCATGTTCAAATTTGCATCTATCAAGAAATATAAAAGTAGAATGAAATAACTAGTAGAAATACTATTCTTTTTACCATTATTCACTGCAGCATTAACATCTTTCTTCGATAAGTACAACGGAATTAGTGAACACACTATTGTAACCGCAATGAGAAAAAGTATCACTAAAAATATACATATGCCTCCTATTGGTAACCATCCTGCTCTTCGTCTAAAAATGAGACATGAAGAATATGAAAAAAATGATCAATAGTCATGGATTCATACGTGGTTTCTGTAGTCGCACGATCAGTACTACCACGAAAATTTTGAAGATAATTACCCATATCTAAAATAAATGTCAAATGTTAATGTTCTCTTACCGCTAGTCAACATTTATAACATTCACAAATGTAATAGCAGATAAACTTATTCCACTTTATCTCATAACGATTACATACTTTTTATAAAATGTAGAGACATTACAAAATATAATTCTCATTCTAAAACCAACAAAATGTCAAAAAATATTCATATATTCAAAGAGAAGTTTGAAAAATGATGTAAGAGATACTCGTAATTCATACATGAGTATATCCTGGATTCTATTAACGCATAATAGAGTATAAGAGTTTACAGAGAATGAACAGAATCTAAAATACTTTATAAGAATATACTGAAGTTTTTTTGCGGTCTATCAGAATCTCTCTTCATGGCTCTGCGAATGTTTTTGCATATAGTTTCATTATCATCAACTTTCGTCAATAATCTTTAACACTCGTAGACTCTAGTAGATCCTAACCAACACTATTGAAAGTACCAATAAACCCTAGCACAGAGTAAATCCTTATAAGATTGGATTGTTTTTTAATGGCTCCGTAACTTGTTTGAATCACTTGACGAAAACTCGTGACTGTAAACAAGCCAAAAAAAGAATTTCATAGATCGCTAATTGAAACAAAGATATAAGCAAGCCAAAGCCACTACATCTAATAAACACTATAGGAGAACAAATGTTGCTAAATCAAATAAATGAATCAAATAGATCAAAAGCCTACAATTGAATTTAAGCGAATCACTAAAAACACAGAAAACATAAAGCAATATCCTACCACAATCAAAGTTGAAGTAAAACAGTCGAATATACTTGTTGTGAATCTAAATGAAGTTGACAAGCAATGAAACGAATATATAAAGAGCAGATGCTTAGTTCATGCATAAAAATGATTTTTCGTTTTGTACGCTTGTTATTCATCTTCGTAAAACAACAAGCAAGCAATTAAATAGAAAAGAAATTACATATTTCC